CGAGCTCGGTCGGCCCCGGCCGGTCCAGACGCAATTTGCACCGTCCGGAACCGACGGCCGGACGCGGTTCAGAATAAAAAAAAAATTTAAAAATTATTCATGCGTAAAAAGATAAAAATTTACCTTGCTAGAGAAGAACGCTTTGTCGATGTCGTAGGATTTTTTCGACATTTTTTCGGATTTTTTCGATGCTCGAATCGCTCGTTGAAAGTTCGAAAATTTAGAGAGATAGAAAGTGTCTAGAGATAGAGTCTGAAAAAAGATTAAGGCCAAAAGAGTAAATAGGGGGCGATGACTAATAAAAGGGAAGCGATGAATAACAATTGAGAAAAATGAAGCAGGCTGAGGCTACTAAAATCAAAGGCCATCTTTATCCCACTGTTCCCACAAGTAATTTTCACTAGTGATTTCACATACGTGACTGAGTTTTGCCTATGTACGTGTAAATCAATGAAAACACGTGGACTGAGTTTTGCCTATGTACGTGTAAATCAATGAAAACACGTGGGCCACTTCCCGTGTGGCATCGAATTCTCCGTACCGCAACTATCGCCGAATAAATGTCCTTAAACTCCTTATCACACCAAACCAAACGCTCTTCAGGCTACAGCCACATATTTGTGTTTACAATTAAATTATTTAAACTTACACAAAATTCGCAACTCAGTAAGCCGCAGGCACAACACACACCAAAGACTAGAGAGCAGCGAAAAGCCGAGAAATGGCGGAGGAGGTGAGCAACAAGCAGATCATATTGAAGGATTACGTTACGGGTTTCCCTACTGAGTCCGATATGATTCTCACAACATCCACTGTCAAGCTAAAGATCCCTGATGATTGCAGCGACGCCGTTTTGGTGAAAAATCTCTACTTGTCCTGTGACCCTTACATGCGGTCTCGCATGCGGGATCTTAAAGAAAACTATATTGAATGTTTTTCCCCAGGATCTGTGAGTATTTTCTCAAAATCACTTACGGACTGTTATGGAATTTTGATTTTCTGAATTCATGGGTTCACTTATCTCTTTCTCTTGTTCTTGTGTGTTGGGTCGACGTACACCCGTACGGATGTGTGTTCGTTAATTTTGAGTGATTTTTGTTTGGTGGAGAATGTACATACAATAATGCAGGAAGTACAATGATATGCAGTATGGCTCTATAAATGCAGGATGGGTCCGTGTTGTTGACATTAACCAGAATAGTGAATCAAAAAAAAAAAAGAAAAAAAAATCATCAAAGGCGATTTTGCAAGAATAAATTTTTTCGCCTTTGGTTTGAATGTTTGGAACTTTTAGTTTATTCTAATTGGAATATTGAAGTTTAGGATACTTAATCTACAGTGTCTCACACGTTAGGACTTCATAATTGACCAGGGTTTAATTATTATTCTAAACATTAAGACAAGAATCTTGTTTTGTGTACTGATTGGTGATTGGTTTTAATATTGCTGAAGTAGCTGAAAAATCTGTAGATGCTAATATTATATTATATCTCCAGCAACACTTAATGAGGTGTTCCTGAAACTTGATAATTTAGTGGTATGTGGAGAGTTGTGAACGTATATGTAGCCATATTTATGTCTTGAGTTTTAGACATGATATTGCTCTTTGGCCGCATAAAGAAAAAGAAAACGAAAGGGTTAAGACTTGAAAATGGAAAAGCTCATGGAGAGAAATTTGTGCATGAGAGTACACTTCGTCATAACATTTAGCCTTCGAATTACAATTACATTTGTAGAAAACAGAGGATATGTTGGGAGAAAATAATAAAGAAACTGATAATTGGAACTCTGAAAAATGTAACCTTGATAATATTTATGCATGAATCTGTTGATTCTTTGTATGCATGAACTTTGTTACTAAAGACGATAACGGGATTAGGAGTAGCCAAAATTGTGGATTCTTCGAGTCCTAAATTCAAGAAGGGTGACTTGGTTTGGGGCATGACAGGCTGGGAGGAGTACAGCCTTATAAAGTCCACTGATGGTCTATTTAAGATTGATCATACAGATGTGCCACTTTCTTATTATACGGGTATTCTTGGTAAGTACTACCTTCTCATAAAATCTACTATTAATTTCAGCAGTTTACGCTTTGAGAGGATACTTCATATTGAGATTGCTCTGTATGTTGCACTGCAAGTAAAATCACCATCACACTTAGATACATCTCTAGGGAGGCTTATATGTTGAGATAACTAATTGATGGTGTTGATGATGATGTTTGGAAAAAAGTGATGGAAGAAAATGATCTTATTAAGTGCCTTCCGTTCCATGTCTCCCCACACTTTAGTATTATGGTTTTGAGCCTTTCATGCTTTCTTTCCTTTTCATTGTTTCTTTTTAATTTGATCACCTAATCTTAGAGGTTTAGCTGGATGTAGAAAAAAGGAACTAAATAATGTAAAACGGAGCTTTCTTTATTTTCATATCTATTGTCTGGGGCTGACAAGTAAAATCAATACAATCAAGTAGTGGAGGATACATTCTGACTATAAACACATTAATAGAATGACGAAGGAATTAGTTAATTACGATTTCTGTCTGCTCTTTACATGATATATAGCCTCAAGAGAGAAAAAAGAAGAAGAGGTTTTGTATTATTTAAATGTTTATTGTAAATAAAAAAGGTATGTGTTCTTTTATATCTGTACTGAGGCCTGTCTGCATTTGTGTGTACATTTTTTTGTTTGTTCACTTAGGGATGCCTGGCATGACTGCTTATACTGGTTTTTATGAGATTTGCTCTCCAAAAAAAGGAGAAACTGTCTTCATTTCTGCTGCATCTGGAGCCGTTGGTCAGCTTGTTGGCCAGTTTGCAAAGTTGTTGGGTTGTTACGTTGTTGGAAGTGCTGGAAGCAAAGATAAGGTTAGTATATTCTCAATTAATCAACTGAGCTAAGCATCTAATGAAGACTCCAAGTGGGGATAGTTAAGAGTATGATAAAACTCCTTGTGCTTGAGTTCTAAAGTTTGGAAGTCTTAAGTGGTTTTGAGGAATTATATTTCATCATAACGATAATTTAAGACGACACGTTCTGCTTCTTGAAATATTTGTTATTTTGAATTAAATGTTATTGAGTTACTTATCTTGTGATTTTTGTTAGTTTCCCATTTACATTGTTGATCCAAGTCAATGTGGTCACGAAACTTATTTATCCTTTTAATATTTTTTTTTTTCATAGGTGGATCTTTTGAAGAATAAATTTGGTTTTGATGATGCATTCAACTACAAAGAGGAAGCTGATCTAAATGCGGCTCTAAAGAGGTGATTTTTTTTTAAGTTTCCTTTTCCCAATCGTATGATATTTACTCGTTATTTGCCGAATGACCCAATAGAGAATTTATTCTTCTTAAATTGTTTATAACGCACACACCAAATTTATGCAATGTCATAATTCGGAAAACTAGGTACTTCCCGAATGGCATCGATATTTACTTTGAAAACGTGGGAGGCGAAATGCTCGAGGCCGTCCTAGAAAACATGAGACTCCATGGCCGCATAGCAGTTTGTGGGATGATATCTCAATACAACCTTGAAGACCCACAAGGAATACACAACTTGTTCATGCTTATAACCAAGCGTATACGCGTGGAGGGTTTTTTAGTTGTCGAGTTCTACCACCTCTACCCCAAGTATTTGGAAATGGTGTTGCCACTAATAAAAGATGGGAAATTATACTACGTGGAGGATTTTGCTGTAGGCATTGAGAGTGCACCGAGTGCTCTTGTAGGGCTGTTCTCGGGTCGCAATGTAGGGAAGCAGGTTGTGGTTGTGGCTCGTGAATGAATGAATGAATGAATAAATGAATGAATACTTTGTGAATATAGGAGTCTTTGTGAATAAATAATTTTATTATTATTATAAAGATAAATATAAATTTCATTATTATTATTATAATAAAGAAGCAGTCGGTTGTTTCTCGCATAGTGTTGATATGGCAAAATTTCAATTTAAGTCCACTAAGTTGCACTTTTCCGAAATTGGTCTATCATGTAGTCCATCACAAAAATAGTCCACTATGTTGCCAATTTAACCAACTTACATCCATTTTTCATGACGGATTGATAACCTGTTGACTTGGACGGATTATTTGCTTACGTGGGATGTACAAATGCTTACGTCGGATTGATAACCTGCTGACTTGGACGCATTGATAACCTGCTGACTAGATCGATCGACTTATAAATCAAAAGGCACATCTCAATCCCCAATTTCTTTTCAGTTCGACATTCTAAACCCTAATTCCCTAATTCGAGAAGCAGAAGAAAAAATCAGAGCTCAAAAATTTGAGAGAGTCATGTCTTCTTGTTCGCAAGGTTCGTCATCGAACATTTTATGCCTTTGCGGCTTCCCAGCGAAGCTAAGGGCTTCAAAAACAAGCTCAAATCCTGGAAGAAAGTTCTATGGCTGTAGAGATTGGAGGCCGGATGGAGCGGGGGGATGCCCTTTTTTTTTCATGGTACGACACAACTGAGATAGGGAAAATGGAAGCTGAAGGCAAAATCACGTCTGCAAAACTTGAATCTGAAATTGGGTCCCTGAAGGAAAAAATGGCAAGGTTGGAATTGCTTGAAGAAGAAACAAAAATCATGAAGCAGAAATATGAGATTGAACTGAAGAAGCTAAACCGAAGAATTTGGAGATTGGAATTGTTGGTATCTTTAACATTTGTTTATGTTTTAATTTCGTATTTTATGAAGTAGTATGAAGTAGTAATAGATTGGAACTCTATTTTGGTGAAGATGGAATTGAAGTAGGAAGGAGTGTAATTGAACTGTTTTGCTGTTGTTGTAATGATGGAATTGAATCAGAAATCATGATTTGTTGTTGCACTTGAAGATGGATATGTTGGTGTTTGCTGTTTGGAACATTTTTTTTGTGTTGTAATATTTGAATACCTCTTCTTATAAGACAAAGACAAATACCAGGTTCCATAATGCACAACCAAATATTTGAAAAGTTGTAAAAACAAATAAATCATCCTACCAACATTCATTCAAAAGTTGTAAAACATCCTGCCAACATTCATTCAAAAGTTGTAAAGGCTGTCCATTCACATTCAAATGTAACATTCATTCAAATCATAAGTTTCAAAAAGGTTGTCCATAGCAACAATTACAACACCAAAGTTTTCAAAACTACATAACCATCACAGCACCAACCAAAACCAACAACCAAAACCAACATACTTTTCAAAACCTTCCTACAAACATCAGTCATTGTTCTTTTCTTTTGCCTTTCCTTTGTGCATCCATAGCAGCTGCAAGAGAAGACACAGAAACATACTTAACCCCCCTTTCTTTGAAAATTTCCTTCAATCTTGTATCTCTTTCTGAGAGGCAGGATTCTTGACTTGGAATAAAATGGGCACCAACAATTGGAGGTGGTGCTCTAATGTTCACACCAGAGACTGCTGATGACCCTTGCTGAAACTGAGAGTACATGGATGGTGGTTTCTTGAATTGATTCATATTAGGGGCCAAAGTGAAATGAGACTGTCCACCCTTTGGTTTCTGCTTGGATTTATCCTGCATCACAAATAAATAATACAGTAACTATATTGATTTAACAATAAAAACAGAACAGAGACAAACTATATTACTATATAGTTTTACCTTTGCTGGAGCAACACTTTCTTGGGTTAGAATTGCTGGGGCAGGTTCACTCATCTCCTCCACCTGTTAAATCAAAACAAAACAAAAATTTTCAAAAGACCAACACATTTTTAATTCACAAAAAAGTCACATTATGACAGAGAATTTACATTGGCATGATTGAGACTCTGATGGGATGAAGTATGACTTGATTGGACAGTTTTAGTCCTCCTTACCTACAAAAAAAATGTACAATGTTTAAGGTTTAATACATAGATTGCAATTGCAAGTATGAAATATAGACTCATAAAGACAGGGAATGAGTTAGTACCTGCAATTTTGTAGGCCTATTTTCTCTGCCAATTGCCACAGGTTCTGCATTTCCCTCCTTAATCAACAGACACCCTTTTTTGTTGTGCCCCTCCACATGACAAAAACTACATTTCAAACCAGTTTGTTGTCTCTTAATGGTGGCCATATTAGTGACAAATCTGGGTTTCACTCTACACCTTCTTTTCTTTTGAGGCTGAACTTCATCTGATTCAAGCCTCCTTGCCCTAGTAGGCCTGCCAGGTGTCCTACCATCATTAGGAGGCAAAGGTGGTAAAATACCTGTCTGTGGCCATTCCTTTCTCCCATTGATTGGCATAATAGCAGGCTCATACACCTTTCTGTATGTTTCAGTTCTGTAGGAAGAGTGAGTGAAGTCTGCTATGTCCCACCCTTGGTAATGAACAGCACTGACAGCATGAAGGCAAGGAATCCCACTAAGGTCCCATCTTCTACACCCACATGTATGATTTTTGAGGTCCACTTTGAACTGCTCACCATTTGCACAATCAATTTGAAAATGGAAGTCATCAGATTTCAAAGGAATGCAGTCAACTAGGTTTTCAATGTGGCTATCTATTATGTCTCTGATCTTAGGACACAATACAAAATCCCATCCTTTTGCCTTGTCTCTATTCTCTTGAAGCCTCTTCATTAAGTACCCCATAATCCACTCAAGCATAGATAAAATAGGCATCTCTCTAGCTTGAAGGATGTTACAGTTGAAGGTCTCACATCCATTGTTTAAGAGCATGTCACATTTTGGAAATACATTAAAGTGGGACCTGCTCCATTGGTGGGGAGGTTTGTCATGAAACCAATTAAATGCTTCCTGGCCCAAAGCCCTAAGAGCCTCCATCTTCCTTTTGAAGTCATTCACAGTAGTGGCTGTGGCAGCTCTCCAAACTGCATTTTTAAATGCAATCCCTCTGAACCCTGCATTCCTGAAATTACCAAGAAGGTGTCTGACACAAAATCTGTGATCTGCATTGGGCAGAACCTGCTGAAATGCTTGGATCAACCCTTTTTGTTTGTCAGAGATGAAGGTCCACTCAGACTGATTATTTATATCCAAGTCTTTCTTCAAAAGCAGGATAAACCACTCCCAGTTTTCCTTGTTTTCCTTGCTCACTACAGCATATGCAAGAGGGTAGAGTGAATTGTTAGGATCTACTCCAACAGCAGTTAACAATACTCCCTTGTTAGGACCTTTAAGGTGACAACCATCAACTCCAATAAGGGGTCTGCACCCTGCCTTGAACCCTACCTTCAATGCACCCAAACAAATATAGAATCTATCAAATAAATTCTGTTCATCAGTGCCTACAATCACAGTAGTCCCAGGATTTGTTGTCCTTATTTCCTCACAGTAATCCCATAGAAGTTTATACTGATCACTAGGGATACCCTCCCTATCTGCAAGTGCCTTCATTTTGCTCCTGTATGCCTGTTGATTGGAAAAAGTAACCCTAAGCTCCCTCACTTTAGAGATTCTAAACCCCTTCACTTTCCTATCTGGATCATCCTGCCACTCAGAAGCATACTTACCAGCTAACCAAGTTGAAGTAATATTTTTCACCTTCCCTGTGCAGGCACAAGTATGCCTAGGAGTGTACTTGATAACTTGGAAAGCTTGATCATTCAAAAGCTTAACAGCATGCAACTTCCAATTGCAAGATTTATCCACACATTTAGCATGAAAATATTTACCATCATTCTTTGAGATTCTGACTGATCTTTTTGATTTTATAGCCCTAGACTGAATAGCAATCCTAAGTTCACCTCTATTGCTAAACAACATCCCTACTTTGAAAGTAGGATCATAAATTTCAGCAGAGTTGAACATAGGAAACTTAGGGTTTTCAGTATCCTCATCACAGCTATTATCACTATTTAGTTCATCATTATAAACCAAATCCCTATCCTCTAACTCCACCTGCTCATTGACCACTCTCTCATTTTCTAATGTTTGGCCAGGTAACCACTCAGCATCAATGTCAACATTTTCAGCAAACATTTTGTCATCAACTTGCTCATCCTCCATGTCATATTCAAACTCATATAAATCATCATCACTATCATCTGTTCCTTCATTCTCTGTTTCCCCATCATTGACATCACTTTCTGATAACTCTCTCAGAAATTCATCTATGTAACTTTCATCTACACCTTGAGTTTGCTCATGACATTCATTTGGCTCACAATCCCCTAACCCTTCACCATCTCCCATCCCAGTTTTATCCCCTAACCCTTCACCATCTCCCATCCCAGTTTTATCCCCTAACCCTTCACCATCTCCCATCCCAGTTTTATCCCCTAACCCTTCACCATCTCCCATCCCAGTTTTATCCCCTAACCCTTCACCATCTCCCATCCCAGTTTTATCCCCTAACCCTTCACCATCTCCCATCCCAGTTTTATCCCCTAACCCTTCACCATCTCCCATCCCAGTTTTATCCCCTAACCCTTCACCATCTCCCATCCCAGTTTTATCCCCTAACCCTTCACCATCTCCCATCCCAGTTTTATCCCCTAACCCTTCACCATCTCCCATCCCAGTTTTATCCCCTAACCCTTCACCATCTCCCATCCCAGTTTTATCCCCTAACCCTTCACCATCTCCCATCCCAGTTTTATCCCCTAACCCTTCACCATCTCCCATCCCAGTTTTATCCCCTAACCCTTCACCATCTCCCATCCCAGTTTTAGCACATAACCCTTCACCATCTCCCATCCCAGTTTTAGCATCTAGCCCATCACCATCCCCCAACCCAGTTTCAGCACATAATCCCTTACCATCCCTCAACTCAGTTTCAACACCTAATTCCTCACCATCCCTCAAACCAGTTTCAGGCCCTAACCCAACACCATCCCCCAAACCAGTTTCATCCCCTAACCCATCACCATCCCCAAACCCAGTTTGAGCACCTAACACAGATCCATCTCCCAACTCACTTTCAGCACCTGATAACACAGATCCTACAACATAAAAGAACACTTCCCTCATGTTGCGTAGTTCTTCAAAAACAGACTCAAATTGAGTTTGTGTGGTAATCAAACGATGTTTTCTAGATATAATGGTGTAGATAACAATAGGGTTAGGGCATCCTTTAATTCTAGCCAAACCCTTAACATCAGATAAAGAAATCTCATTCTTATCAACATAGTCAAATACCATACTCTCCCCACCTAAATATGCTGAGTATTTAGGCCCAATATCAAAGAATCCTCCATAATGAATAGCAACAGTAAAGAAACTATTTGTTCCTCCTGCAAATAAAAACCAAAAAGAAAAACAAAAAAAAAAAAATATTAAACATTGGACCTACATGTCCCCTCATCAACCTATTTACAAACAAAAATAGCAACTTCTATTTACCATATTGCGGACATGATCGATACGCATCCTTCTTAGCCCGCAACTTCAGTTTGCAACCAGAAATAGCAATTCCTCGGGCGATTCTCTCAATAGGCTTCATATTCCGTTTTGATTTCGTCATTGATTAAGCGATTGAGATGGATTATTCGAGAATTCAATTATATTCTGACATTAGGGTTAGGGTTTTTTTTAGCGAGTGAAATTTTTGAAATTGGGTCGACGAGATGAATTGTTATTTTTTATTTCTGTCTATTTATAGTCGCGTTTGATATTTGCTAATCCATCCACGTATGAAACGCCACAATGTAATCCTCCCACGTAAGCAAATAATCCGTCCAAGTCAGCAGGTTATCAATCCGTCATGAAAAATGGATGTAAGTTGGTTAACTTGGCAACATAGTGGACTATTTTTGTGATGGACTACATGATGGACCAATTTCGGAAAAGTGCCAACTTAGTGGACTTAAATTGAAATTTTGCCGTGTTGATATGAAATATAGGAGTCTTGCTGATGTCACTTCTGAACTACTATGGCTTCAGTCATTTTATGAGCTTTGTTTGTTCTATGAGTCTCCCTCGGTCAGTCGGTCTTATGGTGTGATAGTGTTGCTGCTCTTGCTTCAAATCCTGTTCATCATGTGCGCTGTGTGTCTATTAATTTGCAATTGGCTGATTTACTTACAAATCTACTTGCTGTTCTCATTTTCGGTCCTTGTGTTCTAAGTTGCCCTTGTGTTCCAAAGGTGGTGTTGTCACCTAGTTTGGCTTCAAGGGGGTGTATTGGATTAATCACATGCATTAGGTGGTAATTAGTTACATATTGTTATCATGCATGGCAAGTTAATTATAACTAACACTAGCTAAGAGCCAACTAAACCTACCTTCGGCTTGTATATAAGAGTTTTTAACATTGTGTAAAATCACAATTACTCTGGGCAATCGGGTCTCCATACTTGAGCTTATCTAACATTATGAAATATATATCATTTGAATGGTAATTTATAACTAGATGATTGATTTTTATACATCTGGTATTTTAGTTATTTTCTAAAAGGAAAACGATAGTTGTATGTAATCAGTTGGATTAGGGATGGATTTAACTGATAGAATGAGTGGGGACGTATTTATTATTACGAAAAAAGATATTAGACTATCATAAATAAATATAACTATAAAAACACAAATATATAATGAACTTATGAGTTTTTATAGCTCAATAGTGCCCTATATTAGCAACGTTGAATTCTTCATCGAACTTATTTTAAACCAACTATATTAGAATTCACCTCAAGTATATTTGGAATAAAAGTATCTAATATTAGAATGTTTTTAAAAGCGCTTTTCTTTAGGCATTTTTCATAAATATTTCTCCATAATTTGATGTAAAAAAAATAAATAAATTATAATGTATAAAATACTTTACTAATATATCAAACTTTTAAGAGCCTACAATTTAAGTTATTAACTACACACAAATTATAGTAGATGATATTATTCTTTTAGATAATTAAGAACAATGATAAGACAGTTAAATTTACTTTTAAATTTACTTTCACCAAAATTAGTATGAACATTGATCTCTTTTCTTCATCATGTCCCTTTTCTTTTCTTTTTCTTTTTCTTTTTTTTTTTGGTTGTTGGTGCTTATGTAAGTATTGTCCTTAATTTCCATATATTTTTTTTTTTTATTTTAGTAACGGGCTATAAAACTATATTTTGAGTTCTAGTGGAAGTTAAGTCATAGTAATTTTTTTCTTTCCAGTCCTCGGTCCACATTGGTCTTAATATAGATACGCCCCTGAGTTGAATTGTTTTGATTGGTTGGTTTCAGTTTGACTGATTAAAATAACTCTTATAAATGGATCTATTAACAAACTAGCTTCTATATGTTTTTTTTAGTTGTTTGATTATTTATGTTAAGAATGACGGATTCACTAAAATGAACTTAATTTAATCAATGAACAATATCAGAGTACAATAGTACCTAAAGGACGACAACCATTTTTATCATGGTTTAGAAAACAAGATTGGATCAGCCGGTCCAACCGGTTGAACCGAGAACCTCGGACCGGCCAGTTGACCGGTTCGGTTCACTAGAATGAACCAGTTGCCAGTGAGCCGGTCAACGATCGATTGAACTGGTCAAAATCGGTGAGAACCGGCAATTAGTCGGTCCGGTCAGATTTATTGAATCGGTCCAGATGTATTTTAAAAATATAAATTTTAATACATTTAAAATAAGATAAATAAAAAATACATATTTAAATATAATGGATTAAAAACGTTAGTATTAGTTAGTTCAAGTATTTGTATGTTTAAAATTGAGTTAAAATTTAATTAACAAAGTTTTTTATATAAATTTTACTATACAAAATATTATATATGTTTAAAAATATTAATAATTAAATACTAGTCCAACCGGTTCGACCACTGATCAGAGCAACCAGTAACTTGACCAGTTCAATGAACGGTCCAATTTTCAAAACCTTACTTTTTATAATATTTTTTTGTCATATCGTAAATAAAATCGTGGCCCCTAGGCCCTAGTTCAAAAGGTTTGCGTCTGCCCGTGGGCTATATGGGCTATATGCAATTAATGGAAACATAAATGAAATTCCATATCTATTATAGCTATGCATGGATACTGATTGACTATTAATCTATTATGGTGTCCCACAGGGGCTGAGCTATAGCCCGCCCAGGTGGGTCCTAAGCCCCACCTGGAATTTAGAATTTTAATTTTTATAATATATAATCGCAAAATAATAAGTATAAATTGTGTACTTTTACAAAAATAATCCTTAAATGAAGTTGTTTATTAATTAGTCTTTTTTTCTTGTTGTCTCATATTAAAATTTTCTTGTTACAATGTTTTATTTATATCAGTTGTATCTTTGTATAAATTATCAAAACATCGCATGCTACTATAATAATTGTTATTTTGAGAATTGTTGCCAATGAAAATTCATGTGAACTACGAAATTAACTAAGAAAAAGAATTGTAATAAATTCTTTGCTCCAACATATGGAGAAATATTATCTCTCTTCTACTCATGTCGAGTACAATTTAATATTGAGAAAAATCATGAAATCTTAGCATATATACAACTTAATATGTTTTCATTGGGTAGATGAATATTCTTGTTTTGATAATAATACATATCCAGTCATCAGAATGAATAATAATACTGAAATTTACAAAGTATAAAAAATATTGTATAAGTTTCACCTTGAATTATATCAAAAAACAAGAATGTATGTATAATGTTATTTTTTTGTCTTATTTGTGCTATTTTATTTTATCGCATTTTTTAATTACTACAAAAATTTGGCTCCACCTCATTCCATTTGCTATATCCTGGTTGCCCATACCTCAACCTGCACGACTAGAAACTGTCAATAATATAATATTAATAATTGAGGGAAGTAATTCATATCCCACTTGTCTTCTATTATCTTCTTAAATCATCATTAGCTTCAACTCTCCCAAAAATCTCCACACACCAATTTTGAACCAACCATGATTATATACACAGTAATCCTCCTTTTTCTTCTGCTCTCTCTCCCAATACTAATAATCCTCCTCAAACTCCCACATCGGAACCAAAGCCCACTTAAGGCCCACTCCCCACCGGGCCCACCCGGCCTGCCCTTCCTCGGAAACCTCCACCAGCTAGCCTCAGCAAAAGCTCTACACATCTACCTATGGCGCCTCTCACGGAAATACGGGCCCATCCTACAGCTCAAGCTGGGCTCTGTCCCCACCATAGTCATCTCCTCCGCAAAATGGGCCGAGCAAGTGATGAAGGCCCAAGATCTGGCCTTCTGCAGCCGGCCCAACTTCGTCGGGCCCAAAAAGCTCAGCTACAACTGCGTGGACATGGTGTTCTCACCCTACGGCGAATATTGGCGGGAGCTGAGGAAAATCACCGCCGTTCATTTACTTAGCGTGAAAAAGGTTCAGTCTTTTCGTGCGGTTCGTGAGGACGAGGTTTTCCGAATGGTCTCAAGAATTTCGTCTAAGCCTGTCGTGGACTTGAGCCACGTGGCCATGGCTTTGGGGAATACTTTGATTTGTAGGGTCGCGTTTGGAAAGAGGTATGACGAGGAAGGATACGAGCAGCGGAGGTTTGATAAGCTACTGCATGATGCTCAGGCCTTGCTGGCCGCTTTCTACGTGGCTGATTATTTTCCGGCGTTTGGTTGGGTGGATAAGCTGTCCGGGATGATTAGTAGGCTGGACTCGACTTTTGAGAAGCTGGACTCGTTCTATGAGGAGCTTATCTACGAGCATATGTGTAAGAGGAGGGATGGTTGTGTGGAGGATGAGGCTGATATTCTTGATATCTTGATCCAGCTCAAAGAGGATAGATCATGCTCTGTTGATCTTGACTGGGATGTGATTAAGTCGTTGCTTACGGTATTGTTTTTATTCGTAATTCTTTTTTATTTTATTTATTTTTTAACTATTTTTCTACCTTAGGAGTAATAGTGTGGAAATTTGGGGATAACGATTTCGTAATTTTTTGCATGCCAAATTCTGTTAATTCGGTGATGAAAGTAAGATTTAGCGAAAGTAGAATTACATGATATTACGTTTGATATGATTCTTTTGGTCATCTTTCCAAATTATTAAGTTAACAATTTTGAAATAATAGAGTCAATTGTGAATTTCCCTTTACCCACGTGGGCAGATATAACTGTTGGACGTGCGGGATTTGATGGTAGGGGTGGCCAGTCAACGGGTCCGGGCCCGGCCCCACCCGCCGGGCCGACGGTCCGCTTGGACAAGGCCCGGGACCGAACCGGACATAGGGACGGTCCGGGACCGGTTTGCGGCCCGGACCCGCCGGTTCTACGAACCGACGGTTTTAATATTAATAAAAAAAAAACAAAACACGGGGCGAAAAAAAAAAAACATGAACCTGGACCGAACCGCGACCCTTGCGGTTCGGTCCAACGGACCGGCCAGTATGTAGCCGGTTAAGGGTCGGTTCGGGCCGGTTTGGAACCAGTTCCCGGTCTGGGTCGCGGGCCGGTTCGGCCCGCGGACATGTCTATTTGATGGTATAAAGACTTGTGTAGGCATTCAGCACAGCGCGTGGTTTACTTTACCTGTAC